AAAAAAAAAAAAAAGCAAAAACAGAAGAAATGTGTCCACAAATACTTTCTCAACCCAGTTGGTAATTATTTCTCCACCTAATCTTTTTAAAGAAACTATTTTTCTAACAAGCTTTTCATGTATTTGCTACTTTCCCTTCTTTCATTGTTTCTGGTGACTCCTCATTGATTTCCTAAACAAATGTTGAAATCGATATATTTAATATGTTAGCAGGCTAATAAAAATTTTTATGTGAGTTGAAAGGAAATAATTCACCTTCTCATAGTACTGACTCTTTCTGGAGAAAGGCCAATCAGGACAAAATATTTTGATTTAACAATGCTGGATTGCCAATAAAAAACACACAAAAAAATACAAAGCAAAAAAATCCAGTGGCTGGCATATTATTCCAAAATCCATGGATTATGCACTTTGATACGTCTTTTAATAATTCTGAGCTTGTATCACTTTTCTTTCTATCCTGTTTTTTTTGCTCATGTCTACATTTAAACTTCAAATCTCAAAATTTCCTGTATCACAAATGATACAGTGAGACTTCCCTCCTTCATACATGCGTCATAGAGGTTCATCAAAAGAAAACTGGCATTCTCTCAATCCTTGGTGTTGAGGGGAGACGTATGGAGGTATTTTCAGTGCATTCTTTCCGTAAAGATGTCGTAAGATGTGAAACTTGCACTAAGTCCTCTTCCCTGGGAGGCTAGCTTCATCCACTGAGCCGGGGCATTTAAATTTCATTTAACAAAGACTGGAAGGGTCTCTTGATGCGTTTGAGCCAGACCAAAGGTTCCACACGGTTGTCCCTGCCAAACCCGAGGCTTACACAACAGCAGGGTTGCAGGACGGATACTGGTGCGATCTCCGCTCAGTCGACCGTGGAAGGATTACGTAGAGGACACGGGGGGGTTACGTAACCAGGATGTTCAAGGACCATGGGAGGGAAATCAAACGGGTCATCTCTGAATGCTGAGATTTCAGACCGGAGTAGCATCAGGAAAAGTCCAATTGAACGGATGAAGTGGGATTCAGAATCAGAAAATACTTTACTGATTCCCAAGGAAAGAAAATGCTTGCTTGTTGACAAGTTACTCTGTCCAAAGTGCTGGATATCAGCAAATATAATAATATTAAAAAAGATGCTTAGCACAAGTGTGAGAAAGCAAGTACTTTAAAGGTGCAATTATGTACATTGAAATATGTGAATCCATAGTTGAGCTTTGTCTTCATTTTAAGATTATAGAGTAACAGTGCCATCTGCAATGGATGAATAAATAGGAGCGTGTGAGACAGATGCATTGTTAGCTGCAAACAAGAGGTGCAGTTTTTAGTTGCTGGTGTGAATGCAGTAACTTATCACTGTGGAGCCGTTTGCAGGCATACATTAAACATTTATATGCAGTGGGCTGTAAAAATGACATGAGAGGAATGCCTGGATGTCGTAGCTCAGCTAATGTTTGCTGCAATATTTGTTAAGTACTGAGGTGGCAGAACCATCTTTAGCACATAGCGAACACCCGCAGTCGGCGCAGAAGCAGGAACATGTAAGAATTAACAAGCAAGAAGAGAAATCCAGAATCCAAGCTTTTCAGGATGTTTCTTGAGAAATGTAGCCAAACAATTCTTCAGTTTATCTAATGCATAATCAAGTAGCGCATAAAATGCTTTAATCATCAAATGTGACGTAAAAAAATGTTGACTTCATAAAATAACGCCTTGAAATTGGGCCTCTGTCTCTTTAAGAAGCTCCTACTCTTTCTGAAACTCCGCCTTACGGAAGTCATCACAACATGACTCTTCTATTAACCCTTTAATGTTTTTACCAGCGTTGCACTGAGAAGTAGCTCCTATAATGAGCTCAGTAGATGTTCCACCAGGTGTTTGCTAATTGCTGTTGGCTAGTCTGAAGTGGCTGAATGGGAGTGTTTCAGAGGAAGGATCCTCTGTGAGGCGGTAGCTTGGACACTGCAGCTCAGAGGAGGAGCCAGGCATTTTGCACAGCTGAAAGGTTGTCATGGGAAACTAACAGATTTCTCAAACATGGATGAAAGAATCAAAGCAACACTCCAGGTATGTTTTTGATGAGGGAATAACGTTATAACATGTTGTAAAGCTCAAAAAAAGTACATTTTAAATAATACTGCCCCTTTTAAGGCAGTTTTCAATCGGAGGTTTCAGTAACACCTCGTTTTATCATGGAGATTGTTACTGGCACATTAAATCACCTTTTTCTTAACAATATGCACAAACTCAGTGGCTGTAAAATTACAGTTCAATAGTTTTCTGATTCTGACAATTTAATTTGCTTTTTTGTCTTCTTTTCTGAACTGACTAGATGATGAAGATTTTTGTTTTGGGATTCTGTGATCAATTGGGAAGGTTAGGTTCTGCCGCAACAAAAAGCCAAACAAAGCCGAACAACAAAACAACAGATAATTCTGCTTCGCTCCAACCACTTTAATTGGCCAGAGTGAGGCAGAAGTGGGGGCTTGTCCAGGGCACTGTTCCTGCAAGAACAACAATCGTCTTTTTTCTTCTCAAAGAGACATTATGACCCGTTTTAAGCTCATAACCATGTCTCCCTGCAGTACGCTGAGCTTAGAAAAAAAAAGCATTTCACATACGAGTCGAGCTGCTGCACCATTCTGCAAACTGTTTATTGTTTTTCTTGCTTGGTGGTAGTATTTATGGAGAAACCAGATGAAGCTTCATGATGACTTTAAAATCTTGCAGTCAGATCAGACAAATGCACTGTAGGTATATGACATAACTCCAACTTTTCCTGTCTTTTCAGAAAACATAACAGACTCTCTTGATGTTACTTCAGAGATTAGCTGCTTCTCCTTTAAAAAGCACCTTTGGCCAACAAGTTTAGAGGTTATTTTTAGCATTTCTAAAAAAAAAAACAAAAAAAACAGTCTCTTTCTTCTTGGAGCTGCCACATGAAGGGTTTTCCTGGGAGAAGTCTGGGACTGTGGTTACCCTTGGTTGGTGGCTTGGAGACATGTGAGCCTATGTATATATACACCCTGTGGAAAAGCGACCGAAGCACAAGCCGCTGTGGAGAGGAGCTGCAGGAGCAGGGCGGAGTGGCGGTAACACGGGGAAGGAGGATAATGGCAGCTTCATGCCACAGATGTTTCTGCAAGTCATTTATTTTAAAAGGAACGTCAAAAAGAAAGAAAGAAAAGAAATCACTTCATTATGTGCTTGAATAAATCAGTATGTAAGGGGTTCAGATGTTGCCAAAGAACCGTCCAAAACTGTAAACATCATATTCTTGATGGATGCTAGTTTCCAAATGTAAATTCTGAAGGAAAAAGTGGTTCAGGCCTCCCCCCTTCTTAAGACGGATGTGGGTCACGATGTTACTACATTTTAAAGACTTACTGCTTTCTCTATAAATCTGACGACCTTATTGGTAGAGTTTTGATTATGCAGTGTAATTAGGTATGTAGCCTTAGATACATGACTCCACAATTAACTTTCTATCATAAACTTTAAACCCCTTTCATCCCAATACCTTTTCTGTTACATGGGATTCTCTTTGCTGCCTACGCGTCTGGTAACACGCCAACAATATCTAATATTTAACATTTTCTGACAGCTGCCATTGTAACGAGAAAATCAATTTGCTTCAACGAAGAAAGTCAAAGTAAAGAAATAGTTTCAAAATGAAAAGCAAAGAAACGGGACACTCCCAGCGACAAAAATGTTCCGCTCTGTAGAAGAAAAAAAATGTTTAATTTCAACTTTTCTCAGCAAACATGTGAATGAATGACTTATTAATAAAATGCAAACCCCTCTGGATCTGGAGAATGGAGTGGCATAAAGTTTGGAGAAAAATATGCGTCAGCCATTTTGACCTTCGCTTCTTACATTCTAGAATTTGTCCAGTGTCAGAACCTTTAAAAAAAACAACCCTATGTATTAGTCTGTTGATTAAAAATGAAAAACAATACATTAATTAAAAAACTGTTAATATATGCACATTTAAATTCTTTAAATGAATGTAGATCAAATCGTTCAATAAACACCTAGCATGTAAAATTAGCAGCTGGACCAGCGAGGTTTTGAAAACCGCACCAGAACGCCCCCTGGTGGATATTTTGCTGCATTGTTTGGTGACGCTACAAAAAAGAAAAAAAAAGAAAATGGAGATTCAAGATGGTGGAACGTAACACCGAACAGTTCGTGAAATTAAGCTGATTATAATCTTAATATATTGTGTTTCAGACATGATTTGTTCGTAAGTATTGGTTAATTGTGAAAATAATAATTGTCTCTTTGTTTTGTGTTGCAGTGGTGTGAGTAATTTGTACATTTATGAAAATGTTTTTTTTTAATGTTAGCTCGAAGTAAGCACGGCTAATTTGCGATGTTCGTTAGCTAATACTAAGTCTTGTATGTTGCAGTTTACTATGGCCAAAATGAGGGCAGTAGTCAGAGGCTACTCTTCAATAAACAAGTAAAAAAGAAAGAAGTTACTGAAGCGTCGTTGTTTGGCTTTCTAGCTATTGAAAAATCACGCATGTTTTGTGGTGAAATTGCTATTTTTTCGGAGGGTTTTAAAACAAAAAGTAAAAAAAAATTTCAAATACAAAAATGAGAACACGTTTTCCAAATAGATTGTTACACATTTACCAGTAACAAGCTAATGTTTTTCTCCCATGGATACTGGGGGACTGGGACCCAGTGCGAGTGGGATGGATTCATTCAATGAGGAACAGATTGCAGATCAGGGAATTTGTCTCAAAACAATCAGTTTTTAGCAGGAATTTACAGCGTCTTTTATGGTATAAATGTAATATGTATTCTTTTAAATGGTTGTTCTGTCAGGGTTCCTGTATGTGTGTTGAGTGTGAGTGATGCATCTTTTCCAGCGAAGATCTTGGTGAAGAATCTGGGCAGCCTACACGGGTGGATCTCATCAGCTTCATCAGTGTTGGATAAAAGAGCAGCAGAACCTTCACTCAGTGCTGGATGATTAACGTGCACAGGTAGTCTCTCTAACCGTTTCTTGTAGACTACAGTACCGGTTTTTGATCTGTCTCTTCAGTATTTTCCAGTGGTTTCATAGTCCTTGTGTTTGCCGTCTCTAGGTCAGTCTCTGGATTTTTCCAGCTGGATCGGTTCCATTGTTTTCTCCTCCTGTGGATCTTACCTGCAAGTCTGCCTGCCCGCTGCTCCCTCCACACCACTCCATCGATTCTCTGGCTCCCAGTCATCACCGTCCTCACGCTCGTCTCAGGAACCTCTGAGAACCATTCTCCACACTGGACCTTGGGCACATTCCCCCACGCTTCAGCCAGAACCATTCTAAAGTAAGCTGTTCCATATTGCATCGCTGATCACATCTTTTTGGGCCACCAGTAACCCTGCTCTCATTCCAGGCACCTCCGATTGCACAACACAACTGCTCCCGGAAGGATCAAGGAGAATTGTCTATTTTTCAAGAAAATAAAACCCTTACCTTTACTCAGACTTGTTGATTTTGCATGTGGGTCAGAAGGTTGAAGCCGAACATGGCATGTTCTTGGCTTTGAAGAACCATCATTACTGTTTCTTTTTTAGTTACAGCCTCACTTTCTCTGCTTTCCCTCGTCTCATTTTTTTTATTTATTTCACAATAAAATGCTCATATTTTTGGCTTGATGACATCTAATCTCACTCTCTCAATGCTAATAGTCTCTAAATGTTCTTGTTTTTAGCTTGGGGCTGTTTCAAAAATGTCTTCACTTTACTCTTTAAATATATTCAAGGGATTTAATGTCTCTGTTTTATTCTCCTGATTTCACAAAACCTGTTAGTATTTAACTTTGCTGGAAATTCAAATGAGCGCTTTCCAAATCGGGGTGGAAACCACCACCGGAGGTGACTAATATAACTATAAACGCTTTCTCAGCATTAGTCCTTTTTGTTTTCATATCTCCCCTCTCCCCCATCATCTCTCAAGGGATAATTTCCGACTGTATTTAACTGGCGTTAGTCATCTTAGTCATGATTTTGTTTTAATTTCTCCGAGATGAACACTGCAAGCAGAACCAGAATGAAACGAAACCATATGGGGGCGTTCTCATCAACAGCTTTCTCCACAGGAGTGGAGGGAAGAGCAGACTTTGGCTCAGGCCTGGAGCTGCTTCATCCCCAAAAAAGTGTTATTGAGAGACTTTCAGAGGAAATGCACTGATAGAAGGGATTATGATGTCTTGCAGATTCCAGTATGTAAACAAAAACATTATTAAAAAATAGCTGGAACCCCAGGCAGATTATGAGCACTTAGTTGGGCTCATAGGCATTTGTTGACTTTGACATTGATAAAATGTTTGGAAAAATGTCATTAGAAAGTTATAATCCTTTGTTTCTCAATAAGGGGCCTTTTTAATTGTTCTACAGGAATATCGATGGATTCTGAACATCATGCTGTTGATTTCATCTGAAAATCGCAAGAAGTTCATTAAAGTGTTAAGAGGTAAGAAAAAAGTGTATATTTTTAATTTCAACTACAATGCAGTAAAAAAAAAGGTCCCCCTTATTTAACTTATTTTTCCTTTGCCTCTCTATTACTCAGTTTTTCAGATCATCAAACCAATTTTAGCGTCAGGGAACGAGAATTTTATTGAATATTGTTGCGTTATTTATGTGGTGTTATATCCCTCCACGCCAGTAAGTGGAGCTGCCGACAAGGGATTGTCGACAATGACAAACAATAGGAAGAGTGAGAATGACGATTACGGTACTGTGCTCCTTCGTTTAATTCGTGCCTGATGGGCTATTAATGCACTGAGTTATTCAATAATGTATATTGTTTTCCCACACCATTAC